CCCCTACTGGAGATAGAAGATAGTTTTGCTTCAGTTTCAGAAATAAAAGTAATATTCTCCAAATTGAATGGCATTTTCTTCATAATAACATAGAAATAAAGTTATGATGATATCTTAAAATCATGAGGTACTTTTTCTTTTGAGAGACTTAAGGCGCCTCTCAGATAGTCTCATCTTGTTTTGCATGAAAGAGGATGTGGTGATGAGAAGGAAGAAAGATAGAGAAGGTCTTCAAAACAGTTGTGGCAAATAAGTTATAGTGTGGGTGGTACATGGCAAAATGAAGGAAAATAGACAAAATTGAATTATTTTTCAGAAATTTCTCTTTTTAATCTAAATGAGAGAGTTAAAAATAATTTTATTTTTACTTTTATATCTACTACAAATGCCAGGAATTTTTTAAGGTGCTGTGTCTCTAGTTCACTTTTAGAGGTGACATCTTCGTAGTTGTTTAGAGGTTATCTTATTGGTATTTAACCTAACTCCAGTCTTGGGAACAATATTTGGGGAATATTTAAGCTTGCATAATTTAAAGATATTCATATTTTCAGAAGTTTACTTCTCAGTTTGTTTTCAATAACATGAAGGCACTTTGTCGAGTTCTGTACTAATGTTAATTATTGTTTGTTTCCCTTGCAGATCTGCAGGGTGAAGTGGAACCATTCTGTTGTCTAGTCCAAATGCCAAGTGGGTGACCTGTGGTGAGTTACTTAATCTCTCTGAAGCTCAGTTCCCTCATCTCATACATGGAGATAATATCTAACTCACAGAATTGATAAGGGGTTAAACAAGATAATCCATGCAAAGGACTTAGGTTAGTATAGCTGTCTAGAGAGAGACCTTAACAAATCCTTACTGACTGCCTTCTGCTGTGATGTAGTGAAGATAACAAGGTGAGCCCAGAAGGTAGGAGACCTAGTTTCCTGTCTCTGCTTCAGCTACTTACTTCTCAGAGGACCTGAGTTACTTGGCCTCGGAAGGCTTCAGCTGGCATTAAAATGAGGTTAGGAATGTAAGTTTCTTGCCTAGAGGTTGGATCAAATGGACTTTTAAGGTCTCTTTAATAAGATGATCCCTTTGATGATATAACTCAGCCCCCTTTAGACATTTGCTGCATGTAGAAATATACTTGCTGGTGTCAGGGGCATGTGTTTCTCAGTGTGAACCAGTAAATGAACTAGTTTTATTATAAGTCAGGGTGGACATGAAGGAAAGTCTGGCTAACTCTAAGATTGCTTCACTCACCGCTCCTTCTCTGGCTAACCTAGGTTCTAGTTTCCTGTAGACATCACCAGTGATTCAGCTAGTATGAGCTCACTTACTGTGTGCAACATCTACTTGAAACGTTTATTTGCAAAGTTGGAGAAGGGATGTAGCTTGACTTCGTTTTATTTGAGAGATGGTATAGCATCATGTTTAAGAGCATGGACTTTGGAGTCTAGTAGATGAGATTCAAATCCTGCCTTTGCCACTTACTAAGTTTCCATTTCACCTACTTATTTACATGTTCTTGGGCAAGTGACTTAACCTTGCTAAGCCTCAAGGTTATTGTAAGGGGTAAATTAAATAATTTATGTAAAGTTTTTAGCACAGACTCAAACGCACAGTAGGTTTGTCGTAATAGTAACTTACTTTTTCTTTATTCAACAAGTATTTTTTGAGTCCCTGCTATGTGCCAGACCCTATTCTAGTCTCTAGGGATAGAAAAATGAACAACAGAGGCTTAGTCCCTCCTTCGTGGAGCTTACATTCTCAATTCTAGCATTGAGAAACACTGCTAGTTAATGACAGCTTTGATTGTAAAAGGACTTCTACATTCAGATCTGCTAAAATGTCATAAGGGGAGAGTGCATTTTAGAATGGAGAAAATACATTATTATTTTTTGTTACTGCATAGAGAATGTTTATCTAACATTACCTGGAAAACAAAACTGTTAACAAATTTAGATTGTGGGAATTTTGGTTTTCGTGGATTTGGGTTCAGCTCACTAGGTACTTACCAACATCTGCTGTGCTCCTACTATGCTGAGAATTGGAGATACAAGGATGAGTAAAACTCAGTCCCCTACGTGGAGAAGCTCCCAGTCTGCGCATGGACGGGGAATTGGTGGATGAGATGCAAGAAGCAGGGATCCTACCTCAATAGTACTTTTCGTTTTCTTTTCTTGTGAAGTATTTGTAAGCATAAAATAAAATATGTAATATATCTGCTAAGAAACAATGAAAGGACAGAAGCAGAACATCAGCCATGCTATCGAAGCTCACTTTGTGCTCCTTCCAGATTGTACTCCCCATCTCTACTGCCCCCATAATCATTACCTTGTATTTTGTATTGATCATTTTTTTGCCTTTCTTCATAGCTTTCCCATCACTAATGTTTTTATCTCCAAATACTTGCTATACTTGTGTTTGGACTTTGTAAAAATGCATCATACCCTGAATTTTTCGGTGACTTTTTCCCCACTTTTTTAAGACTTAGCTACACTGATGCTTGTATATGAAGTTCATTTATTTTTCACTGCTGTACAGTATTCTAGTTTATGCATGTGCTACAGTTTATCCATTTTTTTTTGGATGAACGTTTGGATGGTTTTTGTTTTATGTATTTCAAACAATCCTGAAATGAACATTCTTGTGCATTTATGTTGGGGCATATATTCATGAGTTTCTTGCTGTGTTGTACAGTAAGATAGCCACTAGCCATATGTGACTACTTACATTAAAATTAATTAAAATTAAATAAAATTAAAATTTCATTCCTCAGTTGCATTAGCCACATTTCAAGTACTCAGTAGCCACATGTGGCTAGTGGCTGCCGTATTGGACAGTGCAGATATGTAACATTTCCATCATCACAGAAAGTTCTCAGTTTCGGGTTTTACCCATCTTTGTATCTCCAGTTCTCAGCGTAGTGCAGGAGCACCCTAGATGCTTGATAAGCTGGACAGTACTGGTCATATGTCTGGGAGTGAAATTACTGGGCTATGGGGTAGTCACATCTTCATCTTCACTAGATGATGCCCACTTGTTTTCCAAAGTGGCTACACCAGTTTACACTGCCACCAGCTGTGTGTAAGAGTCTGGGTTGCTCTATGCCCCTGACTTGGCACTGTCAGACTTTTCAGTTCTTGCCAGTCTGGTCAGTCGTCTTTTGAAGGCGGCCCAGAGCTTATGCAGACAGCAGAGAGATCATTCTTTTGTTTCAAAAAGCCCAGCACCAGGCAGTGAAGAAGGCACCACCTGTAGGGGGATCATCAGGGGAGGGGTGGGAATGTGTTGTGTGTTGGCTAAAAGGATCAGAGGACCAAAGACCGGTTGAAGTGAAGGAGAGAGAGAAAACAGCAAGGAGTGGGTTCACGTTGTTCAAACCTTCTCTTTGCCTTCTGTGCCATTTCTGCCTATGTTAGTAAAATTTTTGACAATAAAGCATATCATTATAATGAATCTTCTTTGTTACTGGAGTTAATTCTGCATTTGAGTTTTGGCTCCATATTTATTTAAAGCTGGGATTTGCAGAGCACTGAAGCCTTGGACATTGCCTTTGCCTGCTGTTGAAAAAGACTCTCCTTTCCCCAGACACCAGTCAGGTAATGGCTTCTAAGCTTATTTGAAAGGAAGCTTATTCCTATTATAAATGAGATTCAAAGTCCTGTGTGAGTGTTACTTAGGTTTCAGTGACTTTCAAACAAAGGAGTAAGAATCTGTTGTTAGGCACTGTGTGCACGGTCTGATTAATAAGACAGAATTTAGGAACTACAGCTTGTCTTTTAGCATTCAACTCACTAGGACTGATAAAAAGAGATTTATCTACCCCCTTGCCCTCCCGAGAATTTAAAAGAAAATACATACAAAACACTTTCTCCTAGCACCCTCAAGTCCCCTTCGTGACAGTTGTGACACACGGCGGTAGTGCTGCTGTGCTGTAGTGTGGGTTTGGTGGAGCATAGCTGGTGCTAACCACAGGAAGAAAGGAGGCACCCCTAGCCTCTGTTGGGAACCATCCTGTTTGCTGAGGTCTCTGAGAAGAGCACTGGGAGGAGGAGTAACAGTGACGATAGCAGCTGGCATTCGTTGGTCACTTATACTGTATGCTGGACACCATGCTGAGCGCTCTTTACGTGTGTTCTGTCATTAGTCCTTACAACAACCCTGTCAGTCTTCTCCCCACTGTAGAGACAGGAAACAGGCGTAGAGTGGTTAAAACCTTCCCCAAGGTTTCACAGCTCGCCTGTGGTTAATTCAGGGCTTGAACTTTAGTCCTTTTGACCCTTAAGCTCTGCTAAGATTATCCTGAATCTTTTACCAAAAATAGATGAGGAGGAGGACTGGGAAAAGTATCAGGTGTGACGTTGAGGGAACAGAATGTCCATCTTTCTTCTTTTTGTTTTCTGATGGGGAAATAAGAGGCAGGAAATCGAGGGGCTGGGACTGAGGTGGTTTGGGACAGCCAGAGTTGCTGGTTTATGTGCTGAGCTGGAGTGTAGTCCTGTATTCTCGTGTAGCACCTTTCATTATTGCGTGTTTTGAAGGGAAATAAAAGGTGCTACTCCTCTAGAAGTGAGAGCGAGACAGTGAATGAGGAAAAATGGGTGGGAAGACGGGGAGATCAGAATGCCAACTGATGAAGAACATTGCTGAAGCTAGACCCTTAAATTCGTGGACATCATTAGCTACTAGATTTGGGGGTTCCACCAGAGGGTACTTTTCAGTGAAAGCTATGTTAACGGCTGGCTTCTCTTCAGTGCACTGAACTTCTCTCCTGAAAGCTAGATGATTTCAGTGCCTCCTGCTGTAGTCTTGGCAGAGCATCATGATGACCTAGACCGTATTTCCAGTTAGGGTTAATAATCCATTCATAGGAATACATCTTATTTGTGGTTGCTATTTAATTGCTTCTCTAAGTAGTTTTTATTTGACTACTTGAAGATTTTATTACTATAACTCAGGTGGGGAGGATTTTGAACAATAGTTCTGTTTATCTTTTTTCATAAGTGGTTTCTACTGGTTAATCGGGAATGAGGCCATCCTCCAGGCTGCTTCACTAGGCTTGCAGTTGGCCAAAGCACCCAGAGTTCAGCTGACTCTCAAAGACTGACTCATGCTCAGCCGACTTAAAAGAAGGTGATAGATCCAGGATGCCAAATTAATAATGAGAAGTAGAAATGCCAAGAAGGCTGGGATGCTTTGGTCAACTGGTCACAGTGTTCTTTCTCTGTAGTAGGATCTGCCTTGGAAACCAGGTTATTTAAAGTTGCTTATTAATCATGGAATCTAAGCAAGGCTAGTGGCTCAGTGAATTTAATGACTAGTATTATGGAGTCTGACCTGCGTATCTCCACTATTGGGCAATAATTACTTAGGAGATCAAATAGTCAGTTTGGCTGATCACGGTATCCTTTCTCTCTGGACAGTGCTGGAGATGTTGGGAAGTTCTGACCCTTTGCTGTCCATTTTCTAGGCTCCTTATTATATATAGCATACTGGTCAAGGGCACATAGTCCAGGCTACAATCCCAGCTCTGCCACTACCTAGTTGTGTGATTTAGTCAAGTCACTTCAGCACTCTCTGTCTCACTTTTATTCCTTTTCTTCATCCCTTTTTTTTTCAGTTTCACTTTTTTCATCTGTAAATTAGAGATGATAAGAATAGTATCTACCTCACAGAAGATTAAATGATTTAATGTCTGTAAATCACATAGAAAAGTGCCAGACTCAGAGTAAGCTCAAATTAAGTCTTACCTGCTATTATTATTAATAATGTAATTATTAATATTATCAGTCAGGAGTTTTTTTTTATTTCAAATGACAGAAATGTAATTCAAACAATCTTTTTTTTTTTCCTCTGGTGAGGAGGATTGGCCCTGAGCTAACACCTGTTGCCAATCTTCCTCTTTTTGCTTGAGAAAGAGTGGCCTGAGCTAACATCTGTGCCCATCTTCCTCTACTTTGTATGTGGGTTGCCGCCACAGCATGGCTTGATAAGTGCTGTAGGTCCTTGCCCGGGATCGGAATCTGCCAACCCCAGGCCACTAAAGCAGAGCGGCTGAACTTAATCACTATGCCACGGGGCCACCCCCCCAAACAATCTTAAACAAACAAATAAACAAAAAAGGGACTTCTTAGATTTGTATATGGTTGATTCTCGTTATTCGCGGTAGTTGTGCTCTGTAAAGTTGCTGTGAACACTGAATTAGTGAATACTGAGCCATGCTCCTGGGGAAATACAGGGTTAGGTTCCTGCTGAGAGCCGCTGGTGAACAATTTATATTTAACCTTGTTTTATTGTGTTTCCGTTTAGACATGTTATTTGATGTGTATTTCTTACAAATGATGAATTGTATGCGATATTCCTTTATAATAAAACCCTAGTCAAGAAGGGTTTTTCACGTTTTGCTGACCTTGGGTAACGTGACAGTAAATTAATTTGGCTTTCAGCCTGACAACAGTGCTGTCTACTACACGCTATAATCAGTCATCACCTCATGAACCCACAGATTCAGCTGCTTTTCTTTCCATCTTTTCTAGAGCGTCATCATGTATTATAGATGTTACTTGAGCACTTTCCAGAGCAGCCACATGTACAGATCAGTGAATTTCCTCTTCCTTTTCTTTTAGATGTACCCTATTATTGATTCATGAACATTGAACTCACAGCCAACAGCACTATAACTCCTGCATGAACGAAGCTCATCTAATACATGTGTTTCTCTATAAGGCGCATCATAGCCTTCTTGTGCTTAGGAACACTAGACGGCACTTCAGCTCTATGCTTGGGGGCCATTTTAAACAGCAAAATCACCAACAAAAGAATATAAAAATGTGAAAAACATGGCACTAAATAGACTGCAAAAAGACCACTTGGTTACAGTATGAGAGTTGAAACAAGAAGGCAGAACAGCATGTTGTTTGATTTCAGCTGGGAATGTCTGTGGATGGTGACTCAAATTTTTCATCTCTTTGCACATGTCTGGAAATGACTGCAGAAATGCTCCAAGTATTGATTTTGGGGTTGCAGATAAATTTCAGTGAGTAGGCAAATTCACAGAGTATGGAATCCATGAATAATGAAGAACAACTGTACTTAGGAAGAGTGAAGGTGGTGGTGCTGATACCAGGCAAGAGCGGATCCAAGGCTCAGTCACATCATCGGGACTCTTTCTGTCTCTTATTTTTGATCCTCTGTGGCTCATAGCTTCATAATGACCTACAGGTGTCCTCTGTGTGGGAGGGGAGGTAGCTTTCAGCAGCCTCAGTTTTTCTTCAGAGGGGTAGCATTCTCTGATTGACTTAGCATGGATCATGTGCTTTGGCTTAGGGGTGGCTCTCTGGTTTGGCGTGGGTCATGTGCTTTGGCTTAGAGGTGGCATTCTCTGATTGGCTTGGCGTGGGTCACGTGCTGTGGCTTAGGGGTGGCTCTCTGATTGGTTTGGCGTGGGTCATGTGCTTTGGCTTAGGGGTGGCTCTCTGATTGGCTTGGTGTGGGTCATGTGCTTTGGCTTAGGGGTGGCTCTCTGATTGGCTTGGTG